CTCAAGGTCAGCAGTTCGAAACTACCAGCTGCTCCACGGGAGAAAGATGAGGCTTTCTGCTCCCGTAAAGATTTACAGCCTTGGAAACCTTGTACAGGGTCACTATGAGTCGGAACCGACTCCACGACACATAACAACAACAACAATAAGATCGTATATAGAGAATTTATAGATATAATAAAACTATATATTGTCATATAAATGCATTTAAAAGATGTTGTTTTTACTGTTAAGTCATTGAGTCAGTTCCAATTCATTGCAACCTTGAATAAGGTTTCCAAGAAGTGGCTTGTGGATTTGAACTACTGACCTTGCAGTTAGCAATCCAATGCTTATGATATAGTGCCACATGGGACAGCAAGAATAAATCTATATTGTCATATATAAATATGTGTATAATATATTAAAAGCAAGAATTATATACATACACATATATAGATAGATAGATACATTAAGATGTACTTATCAACAGTTGTTGGTTAAGTGCCTTCAAGTTGGTTCCGACTCATAGTGACTGTATAGAGTTTCCAAGGAGGGACTGGTGGGTTTCAACAGCCAATCTTGTAATTCAAACCAACCTTTCAAAAACTAACAAATACCTTTTGGACACAAATTGTTTGTTTTGTGAGCATATATGTGTACATTAATCTTTTGTGTATATAATATGTATAATATATATAAAAGATAACAAGAATACCTATATTTTCGTGTTAAACATATCCTAAGGGTGTGAAGACCATTTGCTTTGTTTTTCTCTAAAAGCTTACTATTTCTTTACACTTAGAGCTACAGTTTATTTAGAACTAAGTTTTGTTTGTAGTATAAGGTAGAGATTCAAGACTAACTTTTTTCCTTAAGGATATCCACTTAATCCAGCTCTGTTGCTTGAAAAGTCATCCATTCTATGCTGTTATTGTTAAGCTCTGTAGAGTCGGTCCCAACTCTTAGTGACATTGCATAGGGTTTCTGAGAAGCAACTGTGGGTTTGAACCTCTGACCTTGTGGTTAGCAGTCCAGTGCTTATCCTACAGTGCCACACCAGGACTCTTATTGTATGCTACAAAACAGTAAATCAAGTGCCCATATTTGTGTGTGGATGGTCCAGACTCTCTCTTCTCTACTGTTGGTCTCTTTGTCTATCTTCTCACAAATGCCTCACTGTTTCATAATTCTCTAGTTTTATAGCAAGTTTTGCTATCAGGTCATGAAAATTCTCCAGCTTTGTTGTTCACGATTGTGTTCATTTTCTTTGCATTTCCGTTTAAATTTTACAGTCAACATCCCAATTAGCACACACACAGATACACATATACACATACAAATCCTCTTAACATTTTGAATAGGATTTCATTGAGTCCCTAAACTGTTTGTGTTCAAACCCACCACCCACTTGTCAGAAATCCTAATACAACTCCATGAGTCGTATGGCTCCTTGATGGCTCTTAACAATAGCAACAGCATTTTAAAAATATGTCGTTGTTGTTAAGGGTCATCAAGTTGGTTCTGACCCATAGAACCAACCCATAGAAGAGCGGCTGGCGAGGTTGAACCAACAACCTTGCCATTCTAACAGACTTTGTGGTCTAGTCCTCATCCTACAGCATCGTATTTATGTATTAATCTGTTTGAGGAAAAACGACAACTTTGCAATATTGAATCTTCCAGTCTATGATGTTGGTATCTCCCACCATTTTCAAAACTTATTTAATTCTCTCAAGAATGTTTTGTAATTTTCACTGTAGAGACTATGGATGTCTTGAACATCTTTCATTGGATTTTTTGACTGTTGGTATTATAAATTATGTGATTTTAAGTTACATTTTCTCCTATTTGATACTAATACATAAAAATATACTTTTTTTCTGGTCTTCTATACAGCAACTCTGCTAAATGCCTCTTGTTAATTCTAACAATCTGTAAATTCTTTAAAATTTTTTATATGTGAAATCATGTTATCTGTACTATTTCTACCCGTTCCTTATGACTTTCCTTTCTGTGTTTTGCCTTACTGCACTGGACTAGCCCTCCAGCTCAGTGTTCAATGAATGTGGCAGTTGGAAAAGGTTTAAATACGTCATTCATAAATGTGATGCTACAGGGTTTTAAAGACAATTGACATCCAATGCAGAAATTTCCTTTCAGTATTAGTTTGCTAAGAGGTTTTACTTTTGTTTTTGTTTTCATGAACTGGTATTGTGTCATACCAAATGCATTTGCTGCATCTATTCAACACAATTTTGTGATTTCTAAATATTTTTGTAATGGAAAATAATTGCTCATCTTCTTGCTGGGGTAAATATAAGGCATATAAGTAATTCAAGGGGGTTTCAAAAAGTTCATGGAAATTTTCCATTATATTTTAATCCCATTTTTCCATGATCTTTTTGATGTTCCATCATAGGTAAAAGAATTTTGACTGTGCCAGGGGTTTTGTCAGTCTTGAAATATATTAACATAATCTTGAAAATTTCTGCTCTGGTTAGTTAAATAATTACATATGTCTGCTTCTTAGTAACATTACTAGCTAAATTCCACTTTGGGGATTCCAGTTGACACATATGTATTATTCTTTGTAGGGAAGCAGGCTGCCTTAGATCCGTTCATACTGCTGAACCTTCTGCCAAACTCCACTGACAAGTATTACACCTACAATGGTTCCCTCACGTCTCCTCCCTGCACAGACACCGTTGACTGGATTGTTTTTAAAGATACAGTTAGCATCTCTGAAAGCCAGGTAACCTAGGAAACTCAAACAAACGATATAATATGAAGCAATCTAAAATAGAATTCTTTTCTGGCCGTAACTTCAGAAGTTGTTCTTTTAAAGCATTTACTGATGCCTGGGGAGCGGATAATGTGTAAGTGTTTGGTCTCCCTTCCAGCTGGCTGTTTTTTGTGAAGTTCTTACAATGCAGCAGTCTGGGTATGTCATGCTGATGGACTACTTACAAAATAATTTCCGAGAGCAACAGTACAAGTTCTCCAGGCAGGTGTTTTCCTCATACACTGGAAAGGAAGAGATTCACGAAGCAGGTATGTACGAAATGCAAGTTTTTACAATTCATGCAGGTTGACTCTGTTGTAGGAGGTAATTGTGGTAGAATGGAAAGCAAACCAGGCTAAGGTTTTGAAAAAAAAAAAAAAAATGCTTTGATTCTTCACTTTGTGACATTAGGTAAGCTATTTACTTCTTTGAAGCTCAGTGACCACATCTATAAGATAGCAATTGAAAAACGTCCTTGAAATATTGCATGAGCCACTTACATGAAATAACAAGAACAGACAGATTGAATTTGGGGACCCAAGTTTATTAGTGGTTGCTAGGGGCAAGTGGGGTGAGGGGAGGGAGAGAGAACCACTGTTTAGGAAGCAGTGATTTTCCGTTTATGGTGATGGGAAATTTGGCAATGATTGTGGGTACTGTTTATCTGACACAGTTAATATAACTGGTATCACTAAATTGTACATCTGGAAAATTCAGAGTTGGTAAGAATTGTGTTTTGTATATTTTTGCAAAAATAAAAAAGATCCATCTCCAAAAGAATGACCCAACTTTACAGCTGAAAAATCCTGAGATTAAGAAAGAAATAGTGATTTTTCCAAAGCACATAATAATAGGTGGTCAAGCCACTGTGGGCTCATGCGTCAGAATACAAAGTCATTGGAACTGCAAGGTCAGTGGTTCAAGCTCACCAGCTGCTCCTTGGAAACCCTATACAGATTCTTTATGGGTCGGAATTGACTCGACAGCACTTAACAACAACAAGCCAGCCATATAGACACCTCAAAGTTCACTTTCACGTTCACTTTGTGGGAATTGTCTTTGTCCAGAGTTATAAGTAAAGGTCCAAGATGTTCAGAGCTTGGAGGAAGTCACTTCTGGTTAAAGTGATAGGGAACTTGCATGGGAGAACCGCATTTGAGAGGAGTTTTGATGCCTGATTTTACAGTGTTCATCTTTGTACTAGCAGCTCCCAAGCAAGAGCCTAATGCCTAGTAGGTCCCCAAAACCAAATACCTTGAATTATCAACAATTAAAAAGAGAGTCATGCCCTAGTTCCTTCTTATGGAAACAGCCATTTGTCTTTGTCAGGTATCGTCAGTAGACGTGACACTGGAGAAAGTCTCTTGAGGGTTCTGCCCTTTGAAGCTAACACAGCAGTTGGAAGTCTTTTAAAATATCCAGAGGGCACAATCAGATATTTTTGCTGACTTGTCCTTTTCAGTTCAGACTGAGGTTATGCTGGTTCATGAAATAAATTGTTCAAGTGGTCCTTGCTTTGGGGACTTAAAGCATTTCCAAGGAGATGGTCTTCTTTGATCTCAGCACTACAATGTCTTTTTTTTTTACCATGCACAATATTAATTTAATAATCATCTGCCTTTGAAGATCATGTATTAAAGCAGCATGCTTTTATGGTTTCAATGTGATACTTGTGCAAATTGCTTATCCTTTAATAAACAAAAAAAGAGAATGCAAGAGAGAAAACAGTGATGAATAGCTGTATTTAATGTGGCATTAAATTAAATTGCTCCAATGTGAGGAAATTTAATTATATTTCTACTAGCAATACTAAATACTATAGCATGCTGCATGATAAATAATAGGCAATTGATTGGAGGATAAAGACCAGATTTAACAAGCTCCTTTTCTAAAATACAATAGAGCAAATAATTAATTACAGATGCTTTTTGTCATATACTTTGATTATGGTTATTTTATTGAAATCCTTCTGTGGCTTCCACTGCTATTAGAATAACATCCAAAGTGTCTTCATTGAATGGTAGACCATGTTCCTTCTCAGATTGAACTCCACCAAGTCCCCTGAAAATGGTAGACCATATGTACCCAGGTTGCATGTGTATGTCTGTTTCCCCTTCCTGATGTATTCTTCCATGTTGTCTTCACTGCATGTGTCCTTCTTAGTCTTTGGGACTGCAGCAGGACATGGCTTCCACTCGGAGGGTATCTCTGCTCTGTCTCATCCCCAGCAACTGGCTCTGTCCTGGGCATGGGAGTGTAACTCCAGTAGGTACCATAACCATAGAGTCAAGGCCAGTGATGTGCAGTCTGCAGCTAAGTGATGTGCCTGTGTATTTCGATGTTGTCTGTGAGTCCATACACAGTAATAGTTACCAGAGTGTGATGATAGTCTGTTCATTTGCTTGTCTCCCATTGGGGGCTCTGACTCTATGAAGAGAGTAACTAAGTCTTTTATATTTGAACCTCTATTGCTCAAATAAAGCTTTCATTCACTTAATGTACATTGAATGACTGAAAGAATCCATTTCTACACACTAATAAACTAAAAAAAACATGACAGGCAGTAAAACCACATTCCTCAATAGGTGCCACTTACATATGTGGAAATCCTTATGTAGTTCTGATTTAATATAGAACATCATTTCTCATCCGTGCATTCAAATATTTAGTCAACTTGTATTGACTTAAGAGGAACCACTGTCAAAGATTGGAGTCCTGGTGTGACACTGTGGGTTAATGCGCTGAACTACAAACTTGCCTTGAACCACAGGTTCAGTGGTTCAAGCTCCCCAACCGTTCTTCGGAAACCCTATACAGGGTCACTGTGGGTCAGAACTGACTTGACGGCACTTAACAACAACAACTGTCAAAGATCAGTTCATGTGCCACCGCACTGTAGGGCACCGTCCCCATCCTCCTTAGTCTTCTAAACCATCATAGTCCTTTCCATGCAGCTGTAGAATGTCTCCCTTCTTGCCTTTCTTCAGAGGTATTCAATTACATGCCTTAGTTCCTTGGTATAGCTGGTCTGATTAACCTCACTATTACTTATACTGTTGTCATTGTTAAGTGCCATCGGGTAGGTTCCGACTCATAGTGACCCTGTAAAGGTTTTCTGAAGAGTGACCTGTGAATTTGAAATGCCAGCCTTTTAGTTCAAACTGACCTTGTAGTCAATGTGGTGTTATGTACTGTCGAGTCTGTTCCGACTCACAGCGAGTCTGCAAAGGGTTCCCAAGGAGCAGCTGGGGTGGGTTTGAACCTCTGACCTTGTGTTTGAAACTGACCACGTGGTCAGCGCACCATCCTGCAGAGCCACAGCAGACTTCAAATAGCCCCTGATAAAGTACCCGGAGGGCAGTCAGAGGCATCTGACTTCCTGATGAACAAATGAATGAGTTAAGGAATGGGTCAAGGCTTACTGATTACTTAGCCTTTGGGGTAAAGGAAAACACGTGTGTCATTGGACTCAAGCACAGAAGGGAAGAATGACTTTAGATTTCCAGACTGGTTGGAGCCAAGTTGCTCTTTGCTGAGCTTCCTTTAAATAATTAAAAACTTGCAAAGGCTTCAGAAGAATACAATACAGCAGAAGCAGTAGCATACAATTCATTTCAAAATGAGAGACCATCACAAGGAAAGAAGGATTTAAACTTTTTAAGGATAAGATCAATGTCTTAACAAGACTGTTAAGAAATAGGCTCAATAACTGAAAAAAAGACATAGCTAAATAATTACTTTCTTCCTCTTAACTCTGTTAATCCTTTGTGAAAATTTTTGTTACACTTAATAATGAACATTTGGCATATAAGGATTATTATCTAAATAATTTTACAAATTCCCATTGTATAACTGTCTACATTTATTAAAATCATAATAAAGGTGAGTGACATTTTCTTAGAACACTTCACAAGGTGGGCTGTGAGTCTACTTAAATTTTAGAGGTTTTTTGTTTTCTTCTGGGATATTTGAATTCTTGCTTTTTCTGTCATGACTATATTCGATAAACATTTATTGATCATTTTCCTTGAGCATATTCCTGTGATGTGGGTAGCCCCGGACTTGAAACGTATGAGAGTTACTAGACCTGAACTTCCTTTTCTTGTTTTTCCTGTATCATTATTATTATTACGTACTACACACAAGGAGTCCTGGTGTGGTGCTGTGGGTTAGTGCGCTGGACTGCAGTGTAGGTTTGAACTACAAGGACGGCGGTTCAAGTTCACAAGCCGCTCCTCAGAAACCCTATGCAGGGCCTTTGTGGGTGGGAACCAACTCGATGGCACTTAACAACAACTCCACACAGTGTTGTAGCATGTCATTTGTTGATGTTGTTGTTCCCATGCTAACTTCCAAAGACAAATATGGGTTGACTTTATACAGATACTGATAATAAAAGGTAATAATAATGAAAAAAGTTTAAATGGGGTCTTCGACTTACTTTAGAACTAACTTAGATGGAGGTTTCTGAACAAAGTACAGCCGTAAGTCAGGGAGTACATGTAGTTTTTTTTCTTAATAGGTACACTAAGAACTCAACTGTAGGATATTTTTTAACTGCAAGGTCGGTAGTTCAAGCTCCTCAAAAACCCTATCCAAGGTCACTATGGTTTGGAGCCAACTCCACAGTGCTTAACAACAACATATCTCCCTTCTACTTTTGGAGCTGAATTGAGAATAAGAATTGAGACTCGATTTATGTATAGGATTTACTCTGCAAACAAGTTTTTATTACATGGACTTTTTTTTTTTTTAAGTACAATATGTAGCTAATTACACAGAAGAAACTAAAAATTCCCAAATATCAACACCTAGATTATTTTTGCTATAATCTTATGAGTTGACACCAAAATTGTCAGAACATAAGTAAATGATTAAAAAAAAAAATGAGTTTATAAAATGTGTTACAAAAAATGCAAAAAACATATGAGCTGTGTGTAGAGTCATTCATCTCATAGCATCCACACAGGTCGTGCCCAGCCCCTTACACACCTGTGATTCCAGAAGGTTATAATGGAGTTCAGCAATCCAGATCAGAGCATGAAATAGACATAACCAGACATAGTGAACCCAAAAATTTCTGCATATATACACTGAGACATGTCATGATACATGACAAATACTACTTATAATACATATGACTGAGTGTGGTTGTTAGGTGCCACCTGCGAGTCAGATTTGACTCATAGCAATCCTATACACAAAGGAGCTCTGATATCGTAGTGGTTACAAATCGGGCTGTGAAACACAAGATCAGCAGTTTGAAACT